TCTTTTTCTTTGGTCTCTCCACCAAAACCCAGGTATTATTTTTCTTTAAAGAGTCCATTTCCTCATCCATGGCTTTTACCCAACTACCCTTGGATTCCAGCCTCATAGCCTCTTTAAAAGTAGCAGGTTCATCCAACTCAAGCACATCCCCAACTTGTAAGGCATATGCTACCACATCAGCATGTGCAAACCTACTTGGAGGTCTAACATTCCTCCTAACTCTGTCTCGTGACAGCAAGTAGTCATCAAGACCACCATTTCCCTCTTCAACCTGTCCACCTTCATCAAGGGGACCAGTTTCCAGCTCTGGCTGACCAGGAACAGCAGGTTGTTCCATCAGTTCTTCCCTATTAGCATGCTGCACAGGTATGTCAGCTAGCTCCACCTGAAACTGCAAAGTTTCAGATGGTTGGGAAGAACTGGGCTCACTTGTTATGTCCTTATAAAAAATATTTTCTTTGAAAATGACATCCCTACTGACCACACACTTCCTTTCAGCTACAAGCCAGAGCTTGTAACCTTTTACACCAAGGGGATACCCTATAAAGACTGACTTTAAGGCTCTAGGACTCAATTTATCTTGCCTAATGTGCATATAGGCAAGACACCCAAAAGGCTTCAGGTGATTTAGATTTGGTGGCTTATTGGACCAAAGTTCCATTGGAGTCTTAAAGTCTATGGTAGAGGAAGGGCACCTATTTATAACATAGGTGGCTGTAGCAACAGCCTCTGCCCAAAATACCTTGCCAAGACCAGATTCAGCAAGCATGCACCTCACCTTATTCAATATTGTCCTATTCATCCTCTCAGCCACCCCATTTTGCTGGGGTGTCTCAGCACAGGTCCTATGCCTTTGGATCCCATGCTCTTTGCAAAAATCAGCAAACTGATTGTTACAAAACTCTAAGCCATTATCAGTCCTAAGAACTTTAACCCTTTTTCCAGTTTTATTCTCAACCAGGATTTTCCAATCCTTAAAACTAATAAAAGCTTGATCCTTATGTTTTAGGAAGTAAGTCCAGACCCTTCTGGAATATGAGTCAACTATTGAAATGAAATAGTGACATCCAGATAAAGAACTGGGGATATTAGGAGATCCCCACAGGTCTGAATGGACATATTCAAGCACTGCCTTAGAGGTATTGCTAGCTGCAGCAAAGGGGAGCTTGTGAGTTTTTCCCAAAATACAGTTTTCACAAAACTCCACACAAGTTACCCCTTTTGAGCTAATAATACCTTGCTTATACAGCTCAGACAGCCCCTGGTTGCTGATGTGTCCAAGTCTCCTATGCCAGAGAATGGATTCATCAGCTTTTACAGCTGCTTCACAGGCTTCTTGTGTGACAGCTTGGCCTTCTAATATATAGAGGCCATTCACAAGTTTTCCTCTCATGAGGACTTGTGATCCCTTGACAATATCAAGCAGTCCTTGCTTACTTCTAAACTCAAGACCACTACAGTCAAGCATCCCTAAGGAGATCAAGTTTCTCCTTAATGCAGGAACAAATCTAACTTCATTTAGAATTTTACAGCTCCCATCACTCATCTTGAACATGACAGACCCTACACCCTTTATTTCACACACTTGGTCATTCCCCATTAAGACTTTGCCACCCCTTTGAGACTCCAGCCCACTAAGCCACTCTTTTCTGGGTGTCATATGGTATGTGCACCCAGAATCCATCACCCATTCAGCTTCAAAGGTTTTATCAGACAAAACCAGTGCTTCAACACTGTTAAAGTCAGTGAGTACATTTGCATACTCAGTTTTACCTTGCTGTTTGGGGACACTCCTTGGGTTTTCAGGGCAATTCCTTTTCAGGTGGCCCTCTTTATGACAGTGCCAGCACACAAGCTTGCCTTGTGATTGGCTTTTACTCTTATCTTGGTTTCCCTGGACACTTTGATTACCTTGGGGAACAAAATAGTTGTTCCCCTTCTTCTTACTGTTTGACTTCCCCTTTTTATTCCCCTTTCCTTTAACATAGAGGCCTTCAGCAGTGGGCTTTTTGTGAGAAATCATCTCAACTTCTCTAGCCCTCAAGGCCTCAGTAATCTCATCAATGGTCATATCCCCCTTACTATATTTTATAACATCCTTAACCCCTCTATAAGGGTCAGGAAGAGAATTCAAGAGGATCAGAATTTGATCCTCTTCAGAGACAACAGCCCCTGCATTCTCCGGCTGTAGAGTTAACCTATTAAACTCATCAAGGTTATCCTCTAGACACTTACTAGGATCCATCTTGAAGGAGAAAAATCTTTCCTTCAAGAACATTTTGTTGGGGGCTGACTTGGTTTGATACAGACTCTCTAACTTTAGCCAGAGCTCATGAGGGTCAGTGATCTTGCTAACCCTACGCAGTACACTATCAGAGATATTGACAACTATGAGACTATGAGCTAAAGATAGCAGGTCCTTCCTTTCCATTGGTGTCAAGTTTTCAGGTAGGTCCTTTGCAGGTCTTATTGCATCCTCACATTTTTGCTGAACCAACACAGCCTTCATCTTAATTTTCCACATATTAAAATCACCTCTCCCATCAAATTTCTCCACCTCCAGCTTAGTGATGCCCATCTTGCCGAACCTCCACAGCCGAGCAAGCAAACCGAATGGTAGAGGGGGGGGAAAGATATGACAGACCAAAGAAAATAACAGAAAGAGAAATGGAACCTAAGCTCCTGATACCAATTGTTGTAATTTGGGAAATCCGTTTCACAAACAGTAACACAAGAAACATAACAAGAAAGAATAAAGAAAGCATAAAGCGACGAGACACCAGTATTTTACAGGTTCAGAAACTCAGGGTTAGTGAGTTTCCTACGTCCTGGGGCCTAAAGAGGGTTAAACGCCCTCTGATATGCAGTTTATTCAAGATCAGAAAGAAAAACAAGAGTTCACAGTATACAGAAACAAGCTATACAGAAACTAGCAAGAGAGGAACCTAATTTCTTGAGAAATAACAACAAGACAAACAGATCTTGAATAAACACTCAAGATTAAGAACGGTAAACAACTGATATTATAAAGATGAAGAAGACTTCCCAATCTTCACAAGCTAGCATAGGAAACGTAGTTCCTATCTCTGGACCTCAAAGCTGAACACACGAGCTTCACAGGACCACCTTGCAGATTATCTTCTCCAGCATTTGAATACCAATCAAAAGATCTCACCGATCAAAGGAACCGTCTTGTTGAGATGAACAAGATTCATCAAAGCATCATAGCCAAAATCACAGTGTTTCACTCAGTGTTTGTACAAGAACACTCAAAACCGCAAAACCCTAGCAGAGCCTATTCTCTCAGGAGATTATATCAGAATACCCAAAATGAAGAGATCACCAACGCACAGCACGAAGAGAAGCACTTATGCCATTAAGCCATCACGCCTTAAAACGCTGACGTTTTGAGGTGTGTTGCTTATTGCACAAAGACCCAACTTCAGCTGAATAGGGGCAATCACAATGGGCCTAAAGTTAACACTTGGCCCACAGACATTTAATAATCTCAACACAAAAATAATCAGCCCACCAGAGTCATAGTAAAGAAAAGTAAGAATATTTACACATATATTTTGTTTAGGAAATATATATATATATAACTATATACTACAGTCTGCAATCGATCTCTCTTTCCATCTTTCATCTAGTTTGTTTCCATCATTTTTTTCCCTCTTTCCATCCACTATAGATAAAGTCATCCCTTTTGGGCTAAGGTATGTGTCGGAATATGTACTATGTTTGTCTTGGGTGTGTGATTTCAAACAGCTGTTCCTAAGAGGCATGAGTGTTTACATTTTCGGGGTATACATAATTGGCATGACAATATTTGATCCCTTTATGAGTATATTGCCCTTTGCATCATTTTTCATCAGCTGAGGCTGTGATTGGAGCTTCTAAAGTCTAAAGCAAATAACTCTTTGGTGAGTTAAGGACTTAAGGGAAGGAAACATTTGTTAGCTATGGATTTTTTTTAATATCACGGGTGAGTGAGTACACCCATTTTCCAAAATTAGCAAAAATGCATATAATTTCAATACAAGCTTTTTTAAGTATTTCTCTGTTCTGAAAGTTTTCAAATTTGGAGAGAGGTGTACCGGTGGTACTGAAAGTTCTCTCATTAGCTAGAGCCTTTTGAATAGCATCAAATCTTATTTTAAGTTATCCGTTAATTGTTTCTTTGTTTCAAGTGTTATATTATTACTTTATTATACGAAATAAAGAATATATTATTAAAGAAGAAGAAAACCACAAATGACACTGACATTTTTCGAGATAATGCCATAATGGTAAACTTAGAAAGAATTAACTTATGCTATCAAGTGTTTTTTTTTAAAAAAATTGATTTGAAATTGATCCAAGAATAATTAAATAAGTGATAAATATAAAAGGTATTACCTATGTTTACCAAAAAAGAAAAAAGAAAAAAGGTGTTACCTATAACCTTTCGCTTTAATATAATATTAAAAATGAGTACTATAACTAATATTAGTATTTATTTTGTGTTAATACTTAGCTAAATTCTTGTTGATGAAACATAGGGCGAATGATTTTGGGGGACAGTTGTCAAAGTGTTACTGTTGGCAAAAAAAAAAACATCAAAATGTTATGCTAATAGTAAATTTTGCAAAATGTCACGTAGCATATTTCGTTACACTGTAGCGAAATATGTGTGCAAATAATTCGCTACACGGTGTAGCGAATATGCCACGTCAGAACCAAAAATGCCATGTAAGGGAGATGACACGTGGCATTTTTGGTTTTGTGCATTCTGATGCGGCTTATTTCGCTACACTGTGTAGCGAATTATTTGCACACATATTTAGCTATACAGTGTAACGAAATATGACACGTGACATTTTCGCAAAATTTACCGTTCGCGTGTCATTTTGGTGTTTTTTTTATCCAATCGGCGGCCAAACTGTTCCTGATTTTGGACCCAGAAAGTGTTTAATATTAAAAAAGAAAAAAGAAAAAAGTAAAAACAATACAGAACCGAATATAGGAGAGAAGAGGAAAGGCAGAGAGTGAAAGCAATGAATTCTGCAAATTCACCATTGTTTCTTCCACTCTTATTGTTCCTCTCCATCTCTCTATTCCAGGAAGCTCCCTTTCGCGCTTTAGGACACCAACCGTAAGCCCCAATCTCTCTCTCTCTCTCTCTCTATGCATCCATTGTTGTGATATAAAGGGCACATATTGAGTTCCTGATTATTGGTCTGATTGATGATCTATACAATTGCTTTGATCTTAAAGTTCGAATCTTTTGTTCCTTATTTGAAATGGGCAGGGATTGGAGCAGCGAAGAGACTCAACATGGTAATGGGTTTGGGCGTAGAGTTCTTTTGAGTTTCAAAGAAAAACCCTCAGGAAGTAACCTTACCTTTGATTGCGCTCCTTCTGGTCCCTGTGTTCCCTGCCTCTATTCCGAGAAGGTTCCCTTTTCGTTTTGTACTCAAATTGGGGTTTGATCTTATTCTAGATGTCGTTTTTTTTTTTTAGTTCTGGAAGATAGTTGGAGTTATTCATATAAAAGAGGTTTGAAGCTGAGGATGTGATTTTTTTTTTTTAGCTTTTCTGGTTAGCTGTATGTTTGAAGTATAAACTATATGCAAATTTTACAAAAAGAATTGACGGTGTAAGTGTAGTCATTACATTTTGCAACTAACTAGATCATCAAGCTGTTTAAGTTTGATTGAAGACTGATGAGGTGTATGAATAGCCTATGAATACACAGATCTGACTCCAGTTTCTCTGTTATATACTAATGAGTTATTTGTTGATTTGAGACTGGTTTAACATAAGGGATTTGGGGAGATTGTGTATGTTTATACAGAATTGTTGATGAAGCCTTGCTTTCAAACATAAATATTGATGTGATGTCAAGAGCTGAAGAATGGCGTTATATATGAAATGGGATTCAAGTTCATAATCTTCATTTCTCCTCATCCAAAAGAAGTTCTGTGGAGATTATAAAAGATATAAACCTCTTTTTATGTCTACACTTAGGATTTCACTTATAATCTCTTGGTTGCATGCTTGCTTGGGTCCTTCTTACTTTTGCAATCTACCCATGTGTCTTTTACCTAGTTGTTATTCATAGGCCTCTTTACTTTATTTTTCATCTGCAAGTGTTTTTTTGGGGGTTGTAGGGTGATGGGAAATATCGCTGCAGTGAGACTGGCTACCGAATTCCATTCAAATGTATAGAAATTAAAGATTCCATGAAGGATGCAAAGAAAACAAATTCTCAGAAACCACGGTCTTCTTTGGAAATCTCTGGCAGTAATGCTGATTCTCATAAAGTGTCACATGTTGCTGGGGAGTTCACTACTACAAAATCACATAGAAGTTTACTGGATGATTCATTGCCTTCAGAGAATAGGTCACAGGCTTACATCACTTATAGAAGCTGTATACCCTCAGTTACGGAAGAGAAGCTGTCAGTACTTAGTTTTGAGGTAATTTTCATTTCTTAGCTCACTTTTATCATTATGTTTGATTAATAGTTTCTGAACTTGATTGATTGGAAAAATCAAATCATACAGTGAGTACTGTATTATTCTGTTAACTAATATATCCATGTTAAAGGATTAACTTGTGTTGTCAGCTGCTAAGGTTTGGTTCTTTAAATTTCAAGAAAGAATGTGTACTTGCAAACCATGTGTATGAGATTAATAAGCAGAATAAACTAACAAATAATTACCATACTCTTGAGTTGAGCTGCTGGAAAACCTGTCACTCATCAGCATCTTATAATGTGAAGGTGTCTGGTGGTAAATGTTTGAAATAGCATTAGCTACAAATTGTTCCATCCAGATTTACTGCCAAATCACCTTAGCTATTAGACACCAACGTAGTTTTATCCTCCACAAGCATATGAGGGACTGTAATCTCCCTCAATATCAAAATACAATGGAAATGAAAATACTTCAACTTTACTGGGTATCCATGTAGTGTTTTAGAATTTGCTATTCTGTTTTTATTCCTTAGTTCTTAGATAATCAGTTAAGTTGTAGTGGTAATAATTAAAATGCAGTAATAATAATTTTCTAAAGGCCTCTGTTGTTTTCCCTTCTTTGTGCATGGACTTTTTTTTCTTTTCTTTTTTGGATATAATCTATCAACTTATCATGATGAGTTTAAACATGAGTTTGTCTATACATTAATGCGAGAGAAAATGCAAGCAAGGTTGAAAACGTATGATTGTTTGTTTTCATCCGCCTTGACCTTTATGTAGAAATTGCAGAGTATTGACTTGTATAACTGTTACTTAATTTAGTTACTCTGCATTTTAGTTGTTGAACCACATATGATAAACAAGGTTTTATGTTAAAATATTCATGTATATTTATGTGCATCACTTTGTACAGGGGGTGGTGATTTTTTTGTTGCTCGTTAGTGGATCAATCATATACATGAAAAAAAAGAAGGCCGTTTCCCAGGCCGGTTATGCACCAGTAAGGGCTCAGACAAACTCTCGGTTTTGATGTAGAAGCCTGGTATATGATGAGATTTATTTCACACTGAATCTTTTTTTTATTTTCCCTTCTTTTGCTCACTTTTTTAGTCACAGTGTATTGTATTTGATTGTAATAGGCCAAATGTTGGGATTTATCGGCCTCTAAATATTCATTGTATTTTTGTATTGTTTAAATTTAGTATAGTTTTACTAGTTTTCTGCATCTTTTGCAACTATCAAAGTGATGGGCCCAAGGTAGTCAAGGGAACGAAGGATCCTAAATATCCAATTATTACTTATTTATTGGAACTGAAGATTCTAAAATTTTTAATTATCTTATTTTATGTTCAATATAATTTATCAGAAAAATATTTCTGCAGTCACGGCAGATAAGTTATCTGTATTTACTTTCAAATTGACGTCGTTTTGGGATTGAAATATTAAAAAATTATAATTATAAAGATTATAATAACTCTGAAATAAATTAAAATTACAATAACACCATGATTTTTGTCCTAAAACGACGTCGTATTGAGCTTATTGTAAATAATTTATCTGTAATAACTGCAGAAAAAGCGAACTCATAATTTAGTCAAACTTATTAACATTTTTTTTCAAAGAATAATAAAAAAAAAATACATGCATGAAGCTAACTTAGCTAATTGGCTTATGAAAATTTTAGACAAAATTTAATCAAAACAATATACGATATAGAAGAAACATAATATAGTGATGTAGGGGTTTACAGTTTACTTGTTAAATGTTAAGAGTACAATAATGCTGAAGAGGGAACAAAAAAACTTATCATCTTTTCTAATACAAATCAGTGAGAATGCTCCATTCCGACCGAGGATTAATGGAAAGGACCTTGACTACAACCAATGTATAAACTATGAGGGAATAGGACAGCAATGTCAGACAACTTCGATTATCCAGCATCTTCTATTCTTTATCTATTCTAAGCATTTTTTTTTAATATAATTTTACGAAATTTCCAAACACTTTTTAAAGTGTGAAATTAATCTCCACTTGAAACATTATAAGGTTTTTTTACGAGGAATCAATCCTTAATTAGAACATCCACAAAAAATTTTACGTGCTTTCAAACTCTCGGAAACAAGAAAAAAAGAAAAAAGAAAAAACGAAATGGGATGGTTTAAAAAAGGCATTCGATTGGTTGAAAAAAAAGATAAGGATGGAAAAAGAAACCAATACTCCAATGAACAGATTCGATAAAATATAAAGAGGCTCAGATATTCCTTCAAATTTGCAGGGCCCAAAGCCCCCACAAACAGAAAGAGACTCTACTACACGAGTAGTGAGGAAAGAAGAGTTGTAGTTGGTTGTTTACGAACACAGATTATGCTCGGGGCATAATAACATTATAAATTTCTTAACCACCTTTAGATTTCTTACCAGGCACGAAATTATTATAAGTTGTACTGTAATTACTAATTAGGCATTATTGCCATCGTACTTTCATTATTGTGAAAAGATGGAAATGAAATTAGTAGAAGACTTTTACCATTTTCAGTTTTGGACTATGTTTTAAATGTTTTTCACAAAAAGGAAATAATTGGTAAATATAAGAATCACGCCTTTTAAAAGAGAAATTGACTATTATTAAAGGGAAAAGTATTTCTTCAGTCATCGGAGCTCAAGTTATCTCCAATGAGCTCAAAACGACGTCATTTTGGGGTTATAATTTATAAGATTAAAAAATTAAAATGATAAAGACTAGAGGTGGCAATATGGGTTGAGCCCGACGGGTCAACCCGTCAACTCGCCAAAACGGGGCGGGTTGTGTTAAGATTTTCAACTCACCAACCCACTTCAACCTGCCCCGCTTAGAAGTGGGTCAAAACGGGTTCAATCCGCCGGGTTATAAATTTTTTTATTTTTTTACAATTAGGTAGTATTTCATTTGTCATTAAATTTTTGTGATATCCAATTTTTTTTTTATCTTAATACTTCCTAGAAAAGATAAAGAATAACAATTTTATTTATGACAAATGTTATCTATATATGGAGACAAACGAGTTCCTAAAGAATGTTTGACAAATATTAGTATACATTTAAGATTGAGACTGAAAAAGATTAAGAGAAGTGTGAAATAAGATAAAATAATATTAGAAAAAATCATAAAATATATATTTTTTTAAATTTTAATTATTTTTTTTTAATTGGCGGGTTGACCGCCAACCTACCATAAAACGGGATGGGTTCAATTTTTCAACCCATATTCAATGGCGGGCCAACCCGCCCACCCCGTTTTTGGCGGGTTGGTGGCGGGTCAGGGCGGGCCAACCTAAATTGCCACTCCTAATAAAGACTAATATAACCCTGCAATATATTATAATTACAAAGACACCTTGATTTCCGCCCCAAAACGACGTCGTTTTGAGCTCATTGTAGATAACTTTATTCCGGTGACTGGAGAAATCCTTTACCCTTATTTAATAATGGGTAAAGGATTTCTCCAGTCACCGGAGATAAAGTTACCTCCAGTGAGCCCAAAACGACGTCGTTTTGGGGCAAAAATCAAGGTATTTTTGTAATTATAATATATTGCAGGGTTATATTAGTCTTTGTCATTATAACTTTTTTAATCTTATAACCCAAAACGACGTCTTTTTGAGCTCACTGGAGATAACTTTATCTCCGATAACTGGAGAAATACTTTTTCCATTAAATAATAATAAAATATAAAAATAAAGATTTACGAATGTGCAAATTATATTATCCCTTACATAACATTTTCATTAAACTTCTAGCAAACATGGTCTTAGGTCCATTTTCTAATTTCAGTGAAGAAAGCATACTATTAGCTAATACACCACTAATGTTAGGACGAACAGTGTAGAAGAAAAAAAAAAGATATTATTAAAGTTGCCAGCTCGAACAAGATTTGATTTATCCAAAAAAAAAAACAACAACAACGAAAAGGTAAATTTGGTTTTTAAATAAAAAAATACATAAACTACATATTAATTTATGAATTTACTATTTTATTTAAAATAATTAGATTAGGAAATATTTTCTTAAAGTAAATTATAGAATTCTTTCCTAAACCTTTCACTCCTATCGTATCCAATTTAAGTGGCACTTGGTTTTTTATTTTCATTTTTCTTTGATATATTTAAATATAAAAGTTAGAGAAATATAAAAACAATTAATATAACCTACTTAACAGCTTGAGCTCTTGACATAGATAAATAAACTTGTACATTGTACACTCTTTAAACCCAATGAACTCTCGTATAAAGGAATGTTAGAAAAAATAAAAATCATTAATATAACCTTACCACAACTTAAGTCTTTGAGTTAAATTGAATTTTTACAATATAATTACAAAAATGCTACTTCATTTTATATTATTTCTTATTTCCAAGATATTATGAAAGAAATTTTATTATTTTTATCATTTCCTTTACAAATTCTAAAAAACACAATGTGATCACAAGTTGACAATTTTTTTTCCCACGAAAACTTCAAAAAAAAGCCCTATTGAGGTGTTTGGTTCAGGAGAAAAAAAAATTTACTAGAGAAATGTAATTACAAGGAAAGTAAGTTTGGTAGGAAAGTTTAAAAAAAGTTGTTTGGTACTGTAATATATTACTAGGAAAATTGGGTTAAATATGCTGAGGGTATGTTTGGTTGAAAATAAAAATTTGATGGAAAAATAAATAGAAATTACGAAAGTAACCTTTTTATAAAATTTTGAATGTTACAAGTGGTTAAGAAGAGGGGTATTCTTGTCTTGATTTTTATCCACTTTTTCAATTTCTCCAGATTTCCAAGAAATACCATGTTGCAAACAACATTCCTTAACAGTGTAGAAGTACCTTTTTTACATGCATTTGTAATTAGATAGGCAACTCTTTTTCATAGGTAAAAGTCATGATTCCAATCTACCAAACGAGAACACCGAAAAAACCAAATTCAGCTCCACGTAAGATAGCCAAAGTACGATTGAGCAATCGACATGATATATTTGCTCACATTCCGGGCGAAGGTCATAATTCGCAGGAACATTCTATGGTGTTAATAAGAGGAGGTAGAGTGAAAGATTTGCCAAGTGTTAAATCCCATTGTATTCGAGGAGTCAAGGATTTGTTGGGAATTCCGGATCGAAGAAGAGGCAGATCCAAATCGGAGAACGAGAATGCAACATACACTTCCCTAGGAAAATTTTGAGATATCCTGAAACAAACACCCCTTATGAGTTTTTTCAGTTATCACTTACCCCCCTCACAATTATTTTAATCATTTATACTCTTATTTAATTTTTTTATCACTTACCTCCCTAAGTGAGGAGCATATCTTTGGTATTACTGGAGTATGTACTTCTTTATTAAAAGTAGAAAAGGGTGATAGTTTAGGAAAAAATAACCATGCAAAGAAGGGTAAAATGACAAAAATATATATTATTTTTTTCCAAATTAAGTAAATGATGCACTAAGTCTTCAGTACTCCCATAGCACTAAAAAAAGTTCTCTAACAGGGCGTTTGGTTCAAGTGAAAATTTTGGTTCACCAGGGAAATATAATTACTAGGGATCTACAGGGAAAGTGAGTTAGATAGGAAAGTTAAAAAAAGTTGTTTGATTGGGCCAAATATTACCAGGCAAATTGATAAAAGTTTTTAAAATCTATGTTTGGTTGGAGATAAAATATTGATGGGTAAAAGGGATATAATTACAAATATAACCCCATAATAAAAGTGAAAGGTGTTTGGTCTAAACCAAAACTAGAGATCGAACGACACATATCACGCGTGTACTTATGTCACATCGAATCTGTGTGACACGCACTCACGCTCTCCTTCCTCTCTTTCTCGTTCTGTCTCTGCAACTCTCGGTGGTGGAGAAACCAAACACAATATGCAAAACGAGCTCGTTACCTTCCCGAACCTCACTGTTCTCACGAGTTTCCACCACCGTTCGGAAGATAAGTGCTTTCCAGGAATTTGATTTTCTTGGATTTTTCAACTCTGAAATTTGAAGATTTGTGAATCAATTTGTCGCCGACTCCTAATAATTTCTGAGGGCTATAATCATTGCTGTAAGTTAGGGTTTCCAATTTCCATGTTGATTTGCACAAAATCATTTGGTGAATGAATTCTGTAATTGTTGCTGTTTCTGGGTGAATTTTCAAATTTTTGTTTCTTGTTTTCTTTTTACATAAGTTTTTGCCATTTCTGTATTTGCTTGCCATAATCATTTGCTGGCCATAATCATATGCAGTTTCTTTTTACATGAGGGTATTATGGTCTGATGCCATTTGCCCAATCCTTCATTTCCCTGACTAAGTTTGAAACACCACATGCAATTTGTCTTTCGTAACAGTGAATTTCCCTTTCTTTCTACTACAAAATGCTGAAAGCTATGCAACTCTAATAGATGGGAAAATTGGAAGAAACCGTCTACCAAACATGAGTGTTTAAGTTTGCCATTTTCACTTGCATAGACATCTTTTTAAATACCCCGAACCAAACACCACCTAAGTGAGAGAGGTAAATGATAAAAAAACTTTAAGTGAAAGGAATAAATAATTCAAAATTTTGTAGAGAGGATAAATGATTATGAGAAAAGTTATAGGGAGATTTTTGAAATTTTTCCTTTTTATAATTATTAAAAAAAAAGATATTAACTTAACCAAAAAAAAAAAAAACTCTTACGCTTTCTATTTCTCGAGTCTCCATGCAACCGTCCCTACTCAATCCTCCACCCATGACATCATTCAAATATGCAAACAATGAACACAAGCATTTGTCACCATCACCAGTCCCAAATGAACATGATGGTAACTCAAAAATCTGCTCTCTCTAACTTGAGATTTGATTTAAAATAAATTACAGAATAAGATATACCATGTTATTGCCGCTTCCTTCTAGCAAAAATATACAACACCAATGGGTGGCTTGAGTCAATTCTATCGGTTTCTTGTCCAAATAAGGCGGCGGCAGCAGCAGACAAACTCCAAAAGAAAGAATTATGTTGATGATAATCCTCCACTTAAAACAGTGAAACTCCTGTTTCCTTAAAAGACACATCTACAATAACGGCAGAAAGCAGTAACTACAAACAGAGATATATGAAGTTACAAAAAATAATCTGGAGTCTTTCGTGTGGTGTCAGGTTCGATTTGCCTGGGGGCTGGATCAAACTGCAGAAAATTTTGATCCATATTCTCTCCAATTTCTAGTATAGCAGCCATATTCCCACATCGATAGCAGTAATTTGGAGCACTAAAAACAGTGACCACATTCTTGTCCTTAAAAGAGTCATCAAAATAACAGTCAATACATAGAATGTAATAGGTATACTTAAAGTGAAAAAAATCCATAATTATACTAAATCAAAATATCATGACTACCTGGCACCAATTGTAACCTTCCATAACAAGCTGGTGAGCTCTAGATATCAGGGAGAGACCATTGGTATGATTAAACTGAGCAGCTATATCCTGTCCAAATGTATATCCAGCACCACGTGGAGATATCCCCCAACCACAGCGATCATCTGGATCAGACCACAACAGATCACACATTGGTCCTTCGTGCGGAACCTATAGTGCACAAGTAAACATAGTTTTAGACAAGGAATATATAAAGAAGTGAAATTCCATGGTGGACCAAAACATGAGACATCCGAAAGCCTAAAGCACCTGGAAATAAATATTTAATAATTGATTCAACTAAATAGAAAGCAGACATCATTGTAAATCCTAGATGAAATGAAAACAAATAGAAAGCAGACATCATTGTAAATCCTAGATGAAATGAAAACAAATAGAAAGCAAAGCAAGAGAATTACAAGCTACAATAAAATATTAAATTGCTTTTCATACCATTTTACAAAAAGAAAAGAAAAGAAAAGAAAGATCTATAACTGAAAAGAGCATGCTTCGCATGAAAATGTTCTTCGTACCAAATAAATCATAAGAGCTTGCAATAGCCATTTAATAACACACAAACCTCCTGTATGCGATCCAAGGCCCGAATATTATCCAGTGTATCCAAAGACGGTGACAGACCTCCATGCAAACAGAAAATCTGTAATATACATGGAAGTTAGACACTGGTAAAAACTATAAAGTAGTCAAAGAAACATTCTGCGACATATTTAAATCAAACCTGACTCTCAATGAGGGCAGTCAGAGGTAAGTAATCAAACAAGTCAGTAAAGAATTTCCAGACATTTGCATTTCCATATTTTCTCAAGCATTCATCATAGAAGCCATACCTGAAAGAGGTGAAGGATATCGATGAAATGGTAAGCAAACAAATAAACAATTTTTTGAAATTAAATTCCTTGTGCTTCTAGCGTTAAAAGTGAAAAGTAATTTTTTTTCCTTTTTTATCCCCCCCCCCCCCCCCCCCCCCCCCCCCCCCCCCCTCTTCCCCCTCCCCTCCAAAACAAAAAACAAACAAACAACAAAACCATTAATGAATTTATGTTAACAAGCTTAAACAATGTAATTCATGTCTATTCATTCATTCAGATGCACTTTACAAGCTCGCTATAATGTCTCGCTTAAGCACCGCTTGGCATCCATGTACCAGGTTCAATACGATTTGTGCATAATTTCACAATCCAGTCACCATGCACTTCACAACTGTTTCTATAAAGAAGTGTAAAATGACAATAATAGAAGCCTCAACATCATGCAGACAGCTCATTAGCAAAAAAGTACATCTATTTGCATATTTCACTCATTTATAATGACCTAATACTGAATAATACATCAGAACAATGGAAAGAAAGACAGAGAAAAAGAAGAATGTCATGGTATCATTACAAAACCAAGCTGCTGCTACTGAGCTAACCCCCTTTGAAGTTTCTCTTGAGATAGATGGATCCCACAAGCAAGTTCTATAGCGTAAAGCCACTGAATAGAGGCATCAAGGCTTAACTCCTTTAAACTATTCTCAAACTTTAAGCAGTATATATACTAAAACTTCTGCTCAAACATGGTACATCTTTACATACACAAATTACAATGAGTTTGTGTGAGAAACATAGAATGAGAGGAAAATGTTCTTACACTTGAGTAATTTGACGGCTCTCATGATTTCCCCTGAGAATTGTAATTCTATCTCTATATCGGACTTTTAAGGCAACCAAAAGGGTAACGGTCTCCACTGAATAATACCCACGATCTGCATAAATTTAGCCAGCCTCATGAGACAATGGTAGGAAGCAGTTCCAACAGATGCAAAGACTATAATTTGAACATCATTAAAAGCATTGACAGAAAAAGAATGATAATGGCCAAAGTTGGCACCTTATTATATTTGAAGCTTGTAACATCCTCAAATATTGAAGTTGTTAAGCCTCGTATCCTTCCCTCAAAGACACATTATAGTGACACCCAGTTTTGATACCACAACACAAACAGAAAAAAATCACTAGTTCTTCTTCTAATGCTCCTAGCAAATTTTGTCAAAGGTGGCTTTCTCACAGTTGACATTATGGAGCTTCATTTCTCGCTGATATTTATCCTATAAAATCCTCTCATACAACTTTCAATTTCATGTGTCCATCAACAGTTCTTCCTTTTGTCATCACTCTTCTAGTATACATATTTAAAATATTAAGAAAATCACAACAAGCAGGGTTATTTATAATTTATTCAATATTTAGTGCTCGCACTTATCTCCGCATATCTTCATTGTGTTGCACCACCCTACTCCCTGCAGTGTGATAGTAACCTCACTCCCAAAACAAGACCTAATAACTAAATTTTCAATCCCAAACCTGCCCTTAGCAATGTTCTATCATTGACACATAAACACTCACTCAAGCAGAAAAAGCAGTACATCGCAAGGAAGGAAAATAAAGTTTCACCAAACAACTCACCTTTCAACAAATGTAGGGTTGGCGCATAACTAAAACCAGGAGCTCAAAAATTGAGGTTTATATAGATTTCAACAACGGGATCAATGTCATAGACACAATATGGAGCTTATATAAATAAACAATCAAGTTCATGTTACATGACGAATAAGTCAAGCATAGAACCAACTAGTATAATACCCCAGAAAGTTAACTGGTATGACATGACGGTGGAAACGTCTTAAAACTGATTCAAACTAGCTGACTGCATATCACTAGATTGTGGAAGAAGCAAGCAGTGACTGAACACAAGCAGGCTGAATGTAATACTTCAATAGTTACAAAACAACAGTCCCCAAGTAGTTAATTTTTCAAATAACCAGCTAAAAATTCCATAAAATAAACAATCCAGTTTCCACTTTCCAGAAAACATCAACAGAGAAAACAATCGGAAAAACCTCTTCTCAAAGGCTCCAAAGGTATAAGAAAAAGGCATCCAGGCACGAAAAAATGATGAGACGGAATCGTAACATAAAATCAAAATCAAAATTCCAAGTTTCCAACTTCAAATAATCAAATCCCACACCAATCTATCAAGAATAGATAAAATAAATTCAATTATAACACACCACCAAGCATTTTTCTCTAGAACGAAAGCTTACCAAAACAAAATCAAACCGTACCTACATCAAATTCAGCTCATAAAATATAAAAAACAAATAAAAAAAGATTACAAGAAGAGAAGACTGACCTACATAATCGCCCATAAAGAGGTAATTAGTATCAGGCGCATTTCCTCCTATCCGAAACAGCTCGATGAGATCGTAGAACTGACCGTGAATGTCACCACACACCGTCACGGGGCACTTCACCGGCTGAACGTTCCACTCCTCCACCAGAATCGTCCTCGCCTGATCGCACAGCGCCTTTACCTCCGCCTCCGGCAGAGGCTTGCACTCCATCAGATGCTCGATCTGCCGGTCCAGATCCGCGTTAGACGGCATCGTTTTGGCTCGAAATTCTCAGATCCAATAAACGGCTCCGAGATGTTGTTTCTAACAGATCGGTAATCGAGCAAGAAAACACCGAATCGGTGAAACCAATCGGTTCGGGTTAATCCGACCGGAGAGTCGCCGACGGCAACCGTAAGAGCGTCAAAGAAGGGGTGGTTCCGATGCAAAACGAGGAAAACAAAACGCAGCGTTTCGAAGATGGAGTTTGTTTCTTTTTCTTCGGTCTCTTCTCAATCATTTCATTTGGTTCTCAGCTCCGTGCGTGTTTTCTTTTCTTCTCTGTATCTCGGTAGTTTTTTTCGTGTTTCTCTGAGAAAAAAGAAATGAGAAAACACAGAAAAACTTTAAGTAAGAGAGATCCAAAAAATAAATAAAAAATAAAAAATCTTTTCATTTTAAATTCATTTTTTTAAAAAAAAAATTGATTTAATTTGTGAATGAGGGAAAAGAAGAGGGAAGTTGCCCCGAAGGTGGGGAAGCCTGCCAGCCAGAACTTACAAATGAAACTCAAACGCAAATGAAATGACGCTGCAATGACATTTGTTCAAAAAAATGATTGTGAAAGTAACTCGAATAAGGGAGGGTCTTAACTTTTAAATTTTTCGACTACGTACTTCATTATGTTGTTCAATTCAATTTTCAGCATTTAGTTGATATAGAAAAAAATGTTAACTGAAATATCAAAGTATAGCAATTAGACTAGTGAATGATTATGTATTTCAAACACTAATGATTTATAGTTAAATAAAGTCTATATCCTTTACGTAACTTTACAATTTTATTTTATATTGCAATATGTAACTTTACTATTTAAATACAAGAAAGATTATACTTATAACATATTTTTGTTTATAATTATATTTTAAAAGTTAATTTTTATTAATCAATATTTATTATTTTTTTAAATCAAATTCATTAATTAATTATTAATTCACAATAAATAATAATTGTTAATTAAAAAAAATCACCAATTAAGATATAATTACAAGATGATGTAAATAAAAAACCTTTCTCTTTAAATATAATTAAGATTCACCAATTAATATTTACACTGTAAATCACAAAAGATATATAACTCTTCTCACATTTTTAATAAATATTTCTAAAACAACAAATTTCTTATTATGTAATTATAAAACATATATATTAAATAGGAAAAAAGGTGAATCATTTTAAATGACACATCTTATATTCTTTCACTTTTACAAAGAGGTGAGATCACACCTTTAAAAAAAAATTCACCTATTTTCTCTCCCATAATTTATCTCTTTCTTTAACTTAAAATTATATAATTTTATGTCCTTCAAAATAATATATACTTTTTTATGATAAATATCTCAAGGGTAATACTTCTCTTATGTTGCATAAGAAAAGTATTATCTCATGCTCAAACAATAGTTAGGAGAGAGAAAAAAGTTGAAGGTGAGACAAAAAAAATCTTATGGGACCCATTTGAAAAATGTGAATGTAAGAGATAAATTTTTTTTTTTTTTTTTGTAATAAGATAAAAAAAAAAAATTATGTAACGTAAGAAAAGTAATTCGCATATCTCAATAAGATCAATTTGGAATCTTGGATTACTAGTTCTACTACTGTACCGTCACCGAGGTGGATAATAACAATCCTATTGTATTTTTTTTTTTTTTTTGAGTAAGTTCTATCCTCTTGCTTTATAACTAGCAAATTGCTTTTTGTAAAGAAAAACTAGTGAAATTGTAAATTTCAAGAATGATATTGTTTATCAAATAATACATTCATTAGATATTATTACTGACATTCATTAAATATATATATTGATAATGTATAATTTTAAGAGGTAGGATCTTTTGATACCAGTGTCAAATTTCAAATTTGACATCTCATCTGAGAGCCGTTAGATCAAAAAAGATCAATGGTGTCACATGCTTACAAATCAGAGTCGTTGATCTTTTTTGATCTAACGGCTCTCAGATGAGGTGTCAAATTTAAAATTTGACACTGATGTCAAAGGATACTACCTCTAATTTTAATGTATCCCGTAAAATATATATGAGATAGGATATTGTAACAATCAATTAGTGTTAGTGTGTTACTATCAATATTACTACCAATCAATTTCACCATTAGATCGATTATGTTAATCCAACGATTATATTTATTTTCATCTTTATATGGTTATGATTTTCCATATTTAATGTGAAAGCATTAAATATGGGAAATCGTAACCATACAAAAGTGAAAATAAATATAAAATATTAAATATAGGAATCATAACTATATAAAGATGGAAATAAATATAACCGTTGGATCCACATAATCGATCTAACGGTGAAATTGAGTACTAATAACATTAATAATAACATTAATTGATTGTTACAATATCTTTTCCCAATATATATTGTATAACTTATTATTACTGATATTTATGAATTGCTTTAATTGTGATATGATTGATTGTTTAGGGGTGAGATTTGTTCTGTTCGAGGCACATGTCAAGTGGGAGAGGCTTCCTCTATAATAGATTTCTCCATGCTCGAACTCAGTTAGTCAGATAATCGATGATCGTGAATATATTCAAAAAGAGGGACACGTTTATCATATGTTATTTAGTATGATCATATTATGTGAGAAATTTTAATCATATAAATGTGAGTCAACGGTGATAAAAAATATGAAAAAAAATATTGGGATAAAAAATAATAAAATCATCAATTTTAATTTGTTAATTAATGATTAAGATCCTCTTAAATGACTTAATCATGTTAAATAATACATAAAATGATTTATTTCTAACAGGATTGTAGTGTGTGATTATAACAATGATCTAATTAAGCAATAAGATAGTTCATTAAAAAACTTTCTCACAATATGCATTCATTTAACTATGGGTTATAGTTCTCTCATTTCATATGACAGGAGTCAAGTTCTTACACTCACAAAATAGAGATGGATATCATCTCTGCTTTTTTTTCTCTCTCTTTTTGTCTGTCAATTCCGCTTGTGATATTGTCTTAGATAATTTTTCTCATGTAACATGAGAAAATAATTTTCCTTTTAACTATATAAGGTAGGATATTCATACTACCAAAAAATTTTATTACCATTTCACTACTACTCTAATCACCATTGGATTAGAGGAAAAGTTGAATGAAGAGAAAGAAAAGAAAAATAACGTTTGAATCCAATGATGATTAGAGTGGTAGTAAAAAAATTTGATAGTATGAATATCCTACCTCTAACTATATAGTGAAAAAGTTTTAAAAATAAACCATCATGCTAATTCAACAATTTATTTTTTTTGTAATTTCATACAAGTCAACGAATAGATAGGATTGGGGCCATTTTTTCAATAAAAACACATAATAGTTTGTTCAATTTATTTAACTTGTTGCCCTTATTTGTTTGTAACATGACTAGTCAATTGAAATTGTTAATTTGTTTAATGAATTTGGAATGGAAATTTTCAAACCTTATTGGTACTACTGAGTCAAAATTACGAGGGAGACAGCTGAGTCAAACCTTATCTTAGCACGCATTGCATGCTTTTTGGACGGACACGGTTTTATTTGATTTCTATCCAAATATGAAATATTCAATGCTTTGTTTATTCGAATTCAATTGGTCGCAATAAATATAATACTGTAGTAATCTAAACTTTTTTTTTTTTTTTGGTGAACATCTAAACTTTTTAATTTAAACTTTAATCTGAGAGTCATGAACCAAGAAGTAGTTTGGTTAATTTTTTGTAACGAGAAAATCCAAATTTGCATGAGAATGGCTAACTGATAATTTGAACTTCTTTGCATTGTACTTTTTTTTATCTCTTCTTGTTCAATTATTACACCTCTTTATAAATTTCTCGCTATTTATAATTGTGTTGAAATACATTATCAAATATGAATATGTAAGGTTTTGATACCAAATTTTAAAATATATTTATATGTAAAAAATTTTTTACTGAGATCAAATTTATTTTAATGTTCTATGGTGAAAATATTAATTAAAATTATTTTTTTAATTTTAATTGAAGCTTCAAACTGGGCTTTGATCCCTTCTCTTTTTTTCGGTAAACAGGCTTTGCTCCCTTCTACTTTCATATGAGTTATAATGAACCCTGGGCCTGAATACGTGCATCGTGATATTTTAAAATTTATTTTAATGTTCGGGTAAAAAAATCAAAACTTGAAAAACCAAAAGAAGTATTTTTATTTTTTTTAAAATTGTGTTTAAAAATGGATCCAATTCCAATGAAATTGAAAAATTATGCATGAGACCAATTTATATTCGTATAAGAATAAAAAAAATTTATATCAAATTTTAAATTTATTGGTTATGTAAATTGCTATATATAAGTGAGATCAACCACTGAATGTTAACAAAAGAATGTAACTTACACTCTGTATACAATTAATATGTCCCTATATAAATGTGTGTTTCAAATTACTATTTTAACGATAAAGTGTGTGTCATTTTAAAGATGTAAAGTTGTGTCATTTTAAAAGAGAGAAAGAGATAGATAAAGGAGGAGAGAGAGTTGACAAAAAACATAAAAGTGTGGGTTCTACCTCTTTGTGAGAGTGAAAGAATATAAGTTGTGTCATTTAAAAAGATAAACATTTTTCCCTTTTAACTAAACGACATAAGATTTTGACATGTGTTATATGATTGACAATTAGTTTGCACTTGTATTATAATATATTTATATTTGTGCATTTTGATGAATTTATATATTTTTAAAATTTGAAAAAAAATGAAAAGTCGATCCGGTTCAAAGCAATTAAAATTAGATTCAGTTGGAGCAATTTTATATTTGAGCAAGTCGAATGGATGTTAACAAAAGAAAATAGATCAGTTGACATTTTAACTTCAAAATCGATTGTAACTAGATAGCTTGGAAAATCAAGCCCAGGTCTACAAGTAATGTGTAAGAGGCTTAAAGATAGAAGAAGCATGTTGCGTAGACCCAAGTATTTTACAGAACACAGGATTGGCTAGAGTAGGGCTGGCAATACGGGCTGGCTCGTCTCAGCCCACCACTGGCCCGCCAAAAACGGGGTGGGCCAGCTCGGCCCATTTTTACAAAATGAGCTAAACTTAGCAACCCGTGTTTTATAAGTGGGCTGACGGGTTGTGGGCCAACCCGCCTAAAATAAAAAAAATTCATAAATAAAATAAAAAACATAAAATTCTGCGTAAAAACACACAAAAAATCTGTATAAATCCTAATGTGCATATGAAACCAAGAAAACCAGTGTTTAACAATCTGCATATAAATAGCGTTTATTATACAATAATTCAAAATGTTACGATAATATATACTACGAAATTATTATTTTATGAGTTGCAGG